TTTGCTATGCTTAAGAGTGGACTTAAGTATCGTGGTACTTTTGTACAATTGAAAAGATTTAGATGTATTGAATTGGTGGAGGAACAATTAACATCGATTTCCAATTCATTCAAGAATGATTACTGATATTCTTAGAATCTCAATTACTACTGTGGCTAGCAAATTGGATTTTAATACTGGTTCACATGTTTTGACAAAGTATTAAAGTTTTTCTTTTTCAGATAATATTGAGACTCTATCATTTGTATTCAAAATTGGTTGCATGCTTTTGAGTTGAATGATCTTGTTTGTATACTTTAAAATTATGATTTTGATTTATTATTTGTTGTAGATAATGTGGATGAAAAAGGAATATATAAAAAATTTGGTATCTTTACCACCAAAGAGCCTTCCCAAGAAGAAGGATTAAATTATATCATTGATGTTAATAATAATGATGATAATAATCATCAAAATTTTACTGATGATGATAACAACAAAGTCTAAGTTTTATTGATTTTTATTTTTATTTTGTTATTTGATTATTAGACATGTTTAAGTTTTATATATTTGTTGTGGTATGTGGATTTATTCAATATAGCTTTTTAGACTTAATCTTATGTTAGTAACTTTCGTTTGACATTATAAATATGTTTTTTTAGGTTTTTAATTTGAAAAGGATTAAATTATGATTTTGGTTTATTATTTGTTGTAGATAATGAAGATGAAAAAGGAATATATAAAAAAGCTTGATATCTTTGCCACCAAAGAGCCTTTACAAGGAAAAGGATTAAATTATACTATTGATGTTGATAATAATAATAATAATAATAATAATCATTAAAATTTTACTAAAGATGATAACAACAAAGTTTAAATTTTATTGGTTTTGATTTTTATTTTGCTATTTAATTATTAGACATGTTTAAGTTTTATATATTTGTTGTGGTATGTGGATTTACTTCAATATAGTTTTTTAGACTTAATCTTATGTTAACAACTTTCTTTTGAGATTATAAATATGTTTTTTTAGGTTTTTAATTTGAAAAGTAAAAAAATAGGATTGATATCCACAAGGTTGAGCTTTACAAAATAGAGCCTTAAAATATAATCAGACTTAACAAGGCTGACTCATTTTAACCCTAGTCCTTTAAAGGTTATCCTTAATTGCCAGTTATCTAGTAAGAACAATATTGTATTATTTTTAATTATTAAAAGAGAATATTATACTACAAATAAGTTTAGAATATCAAACGTTCCAAATAAATAATTAAAGGATAAAAATATCCTTTACCCTTATTTTGTTTTTAAACTTTGCTTGCCTTTGTGAATTCAAAACGAGAGGGCATTAGCAAAATCCAAGAGATAGATATTAAAAGTAAATATGAAGAAGTTTAAAATATATATGGAATATGATTGTAAGATGAAGAATTAATTATTCAAAATTATCGTCATCGGGTGTTACAAATCTGTGAAACTCAAAAGCACAATCGGCCCCTTAAAGTGTCAGGTCAGCCCTACACCGATCTCCCATATCCCTCTCACGTTACTTTCCTTCAGAGTTCAGACGCTAACACTGGCCATTTAGAAGCTTCTTGGCTTGGCAACGATGGTGGAATGCTTAAGTATGTGCAAACTAAACTGTCCACCTTTCTCAGCAGTATCAATCCTGGATTGTCCAGGAGGAGGCGAGAGCTCAAAGTTCTGGACCAAACGCCCCAAAGTGATACCCAGCATAGGCAACGCCAGTATTATTCCAGGACAGCTTCTTCTTCCGACTCCGAATGGCAAGTACCTGAAATCGTTCCCGTTTGGCTCCGCCTTGGCTTCCTCCTCCAGGAACCTCTCGGGTCGGAACTGCTCCGGGTTCTTCCATTGGGCCGGGTTGTTTGCCAACCACCATGCGTTCACCAGGATCTTGCTCTCCGCCGGGATGTCGTGGCCGCCGAGCTTCTCGTCATGGAGGTTCATTTGAGGGACCAGACGGAGGGTCTCTTTGATAACGGCCTGGAGGTATGGGAGCTTGTGGGTGTCGGGTTCGGTAACCGGGTGCCCGACCCCGAGAACCGAGTCGATCTCGTCTCGCAGGCTTTTCTGAACCTCTGGATTGTTCACTAACTCGGCGATACCCCACTCTATTGACCACAGAGTCGTCTCAATTGCTGCATTAGGATTGGAATCTTTTAATATTTCTTATTCATCAAACAAATCAAGCCGATAACCGATCTGAAGTTTTTTACTCCAGACCAAGTTTATAAACCCATCCTGTTTTAATTGTTTTCATTTTATCAACCCATTCATAAAAGTATCAGTCTTAGATAATTAAATAAATATCCTAACATTATTTTGATCAAAATTACGCTGATTTCAAAAAATACGTACACATATTTCAAGAGAATAAGTAAAGCAGAAAACACCAAAATTTGATTGAGGGAAAAAAGAAATGCCAGGCAGATGCTTTAAAGAGTAAAATCAAATAATGATAAACTCTAATTTATTATAGTATATTGATAATTAGTTGCTTAAAAGAGGAGAGAAAATTAGGAATTTTTTTAAAAATAGTTATTATTTTTAAGAGTTTTCTCCCCTAATCTTCTTTCCTCTCCATTTTTTTCTATCCAAACTAAGATTAAGGAACTATTACCAAACAAGTTAACTTCTTATTTATTTATTTATTTATTGGATTTTTAATGGAAAATATGGCGTTGAATTATATTTGTCAAACTCTCGGATTGACTTTACGAATTTAATATTTTTATGTTTTAAACTTACAAAATCATATTAACTCACTTATAAATTTTAATTAGAAATAAATTCAGTTAAATTTACGAGTTTACCTTTGAGTTTACCGTTTTTATGTTTTTAACTTATAAAATCGTATTAACCAATTCATATTGGACTAGATACAAACTTGGTTAAACTTGTTAAGCTCGTCAATTTTTTTTTTTGAATTGAGCAAGTTAAGTATATACTTTGAAATATTTTGTTCATAAAAGTTATAAGACCCGATTTAAAGAAAAAAAAACTTACAATGCAAAAACTAATATTAATAAAAAAGAAAACAAAAAATATTAAAAATAAGTTCCTCTATTTTAAAATTTATATATCGTGTATATTATAATTTATGAATATAAATAGGTTTAATTTCAATAATTTATATTTTTAATATATTTAAATTAAATTACAATCACATTTTAATACTATTTGTTAATAGAAATAAATTTTTATAAATTTATAATTTAAATTTATAATATAAATTTATATTTTTATTATAAATTTATTTAAATTTATGAGTTTAATAACATTGCGTTGAATAATAAAGGTAATATGAGACCAAAAAGAAAAGAAGAAATGGAGCGAGTGTAACCCCCAGATATCTTGCCTCCACCAACCCTATGTGGACGCAGTCATATACCAACCGACCGCAACCACACTATTCAGTCATCAAACATCCAACCGCACTTGAACTTGTAAATTGGGACGACGGAAAAGGCAAAAGTGAACCAAAATTTGTGCTCTGACTTTTGAGCTGAATACTGTTAACTATTTTTTTGCATTAAAATAATATGTCAAGCTTTATGATGATTGAACTCATTTTTATCATTATTTAACACAGGAAGCTGAAGAAGAGCCGAGCCCCGCACACATTACATGCTTGTTATTAAAAAAAATTACTTATAATCTTTCTATGTGTATTGGGAAGGTTTGAGCTGCCAGCTATTACCTGTACCGTATGTATAGCTATTTTTCCTCTTCAAGGAATCAATTTCATATTTATATCCCAAGCACTTATATTAATGCAGGATTCAAACTTATTTAAAACCTCAACCATGATAGGAGGTCGTATTATCGTTGAGGAAACTAATAAATGGCATTACTATATATATGTATAGCTACTTTTTGATAAGATGAACCCCATCCACCCAAAAAAAACAAAAAAACATCATGCTTTGTCAAGTATAGAACCTTTGCCAATTATACTCAATAATAAATAATCAATACTAGACAATGATGGGTAACCTAGATCCACAAAAAGAAAAGGTGATTATAAAAAGAATTATAATCATCATTACATCCCCACCCAACCCATGTCCGGAACATCACTTTGATCAATTAGTGCATTACTGCATTATATTCATGTGCTCAATTCCCCGACTTTAATTTAAAAAAATAAAAAAAAAAACTTGTTATACGACAGTTAACTATGATTTAAGAAATTTATAATTATTAATTTGCTATACTCAGTTCTTATAATAGTTCAAATACTTATGCATGATAGAAAATTTGGTCCATTATGCTCATTTAGTCGCCGGGTTGGTGGCATTCCGAAAATTATCAGCTAATAATTCAAGTCCCGGACCCAAGGCTGACGCACATTCAGGCGAGTTTTTTGGTGTGTTTGGTCAGTAAGAAAACGTAAAAAGTAAACAAGAGAAATAGCGTACCAGCAACGTTAATGTTCTCAACAATGTACAGCACATTATCTTCGTTGATCTCCCCCTTTTTCTGAGCGCCCGAGATGTGATCAATGGCGCATTTAAGTCCATTATTATATTTGCCCGTACTACTTTTGGTGCTTTCCAGCTTCCTGTTCCCTCATAGTTAGTCACCATTGATCAATAACATATACACGATAAATTATACATCTGTGAGAATGATCAGTGACTTAAAAGCATGATTAATTAACTAACTTTCTCTCGTCGACGAAATAGTCCTTGAAAAGCTTCAACCTCGTGGCTTTCACTTCCTTACAGATCTTGAGTTAGCCTCTAAGGAAAGGTCTCAAAATGGGAATAAAATCACCGTAGTTGTAATCAAAGCTCTGAGCCAAGCGACTCCTTTCTCCCTTTAGAGCTCTAGGTTTCTGGAACATTGGATCGTCCTCACTCTCGAACCTTGCATCGAACATGATTCTGTACATATTGTTATACATCATCAGTTGCAACCTCCTCCTCAGCACGATCCCATTCGTCGTCGATTTCGGATTCTTCTTCACATCCTCCACCACTTGATCAACCTCGTTCTCCCACCCTTGCCGGTACTGTTGCACCACCTTGTTGGTGAAGAACGGCACCATCATGATCTGCCTCATCTTCTGCCTGATAGAGCAGATAATCGTGTGGCCCAACCAATATCTAAGTCTAAGCCCAAAGTGAAGCCCAAAGTAAAGTCCAAGTCTGATTCAGTTACGAATGCTATAACCGATTCTCTAAGCACGTGATTTCTGTTAATTCGTTATACCTAATTATTGTTATTATTTTATTTTAGTTTATTCTATTTTTGCCTATATATATATGTATCAGAGTCTTTCTTCTGGGTATTGAATAAAGAAAGAAATATTCAGCTTATATTTTTGGTTTTAATCTCAGTTCAAACTTGGTATCAGAGCTGCTTTGACAATGGCGACCTCTCACTCTGTTCTGCTGGTTGGGACCTCTAGTAGTCCTTCTACAGTCGCACAAATCAATTCGCAAGTCCCGACAATGACAACCAAAGTCACTCCACTTCTTAGCAACTTGAACCAAGCTGGTGCGGTCAAGCTGGATCGTACGAATTATATTCTTTGGAGTTCACATGTCCTCTCCATTGTTAGAGGACATAGGCTGGATGGTTACTTGCTTGGTTTAAAGCAATGTCCTAATGAGTACACGGTGATTGATGAACAAGTTCAAGTTAACTCAGAGTATGAAGATTGGATAGCAACAGATCAGCTGTTATATGATTGGCTTCTCGGATCCATGAATACTGATGTAAGTACACACTTACTTCATTGTAGAACTGCTGCTGAACTCTAGATTGGAGTTCAGCAACTCATTGGTGCACAAACAAGATCACGTTCCTTGCAGCTTAAAGGAGATTTGCAGTGAGCTCAAAAAGGAAGTCTAAGCATGGAAAAGTATATTAATAAGATGAAGGTTTTATCTGATAATCTAGCTTTATCAGGAAGTCCGATTTCTACAGCTGAGTTGATAATGGCAACATTGGTAGGACTAGATTCAAAATATACTCCAATTGTTGTGCAACTTGGAGATAAAGAAAACCTTTCTTGGCTTGAAATGCAGACAAAACTCTTGACAAATGAATCACGCCTGGAACGAGTTCATCGTTCTGCTACAATAGATATAGGCAATGCTTTTGCTAATTTTTCTATTCAAACTAACTCATATGCTCCTCAAGCTTCAAACAAGGGATTATCTCGTGGTGGTAATCGTGGAAATTGTGGATATCATGGACGAGGACGATATAGTGGTAAAAATAATAAACCAGTTTGTCAAGTCTGTACTAAGTCTGGTCATATTGCCTTTGACTGCTTTTATAGGTACGACAAAAATTTTACTAAGTAAGAAACTCAACCATCTGCTGCCTATTTTGCTTCACCCGAAGTTGTGAATGATCCAGCCTAGTATTTTGACAATAGTGCTACTCACCATGTCACTAATAATGCTCTAAGTTCGTTTTCCTCTGGTTCTGGAAATCTTGAAGTAGGAGGTAATCATAAACTTCCTATAAAGCACATTGCTCATGCTCAATTTTCTAATGATATAGATGCTTGTCTCAAGTTGAAAAATATTCTTATGGTACCTGATATACAAAAGAATCTCATGAGTGTTCATAAAATAGCATTTGATAATAATGCTTCCATTGTTTTTGACGCTTCTGGTTGTTATGTGTACTTGCAACAGGGAAACCTCATGAAGGAGGTCTATATTGTGCTGATCAAACACCAGTGTTTGCTAAAAATCAAGAAAGCAATGCACAGGTGTACAACATTGCTCTTCAAGATGCTCTTAAGTCATGGCATAGGCGACTCGGTCATTGTTCTACTAGAACATTAAAGAATGTATTAAGTCAATATAACATTCTTTCCACCATTAATGAGAAACTTGATTTTTGTTCTGCATGTCAGTACGGCAAATCGCATGCTCTCCCCTTTTCTCTTTCTAATTCAAGAGCCTCTATTCCACTTGAACTAATATATTTAAACTTATGGGGACTAGCACCGATTGTTTCTTCTCATGGGTTCTGCTACTATGTTAGCTTTATAGATGATTTTAGTCACTACACATGGTTATATCCACTAAAAGCCAAAAGTGATGCTTTGTCTGCTTTTATCCATTTCAAGCATATGGTAGAAAATTAGTTTAATCTAAAAATCAAACAATTTCATAGTGATAACGGTGGTGAATACAAACGATTTATTCCCATATTTCATGAAGCTAGAATAATTCCTCAATATTCCTATCCATATACATCAGCTCAAAACGGTTGAGCAGAGAGAAAACATCGTCATGTTATAGAAATGGGACTAAGTCTTTTGGCTTAGGCTCACATGCCTTTTGTGTACTGGTGGGAAGCTTTTTCTACAAGTGTACATATCATCAATAGATTACCCACTCCAATTTTGTCAAATAAGTCACCATTTGAAGTTTTATGGAATAAAGTACCTAATTATGGTAATCTCAAAGTATTTGGCTGTGAGTGCTATCCATGTCTCAAACCTTACAACCAACATAAACTTCAGTTTCACAGTGATCGATGCATTTTTCTGGGCTACAGTGGCAGTCATAAAGGCTTTAAGTGCATGAACTCAGCTGGTCGAGTTTATATTTCTCATCATGTTATTTTTAATGAAGGTGCTTTTCCTTTTTCAGGATACTTTATTCCACAACATCATGAGGCTCTGATTGTTTAGTCTATTGGACAGTCTTCTGAATGGTTTGAAGTCTTTGAGTTTACTCAATCTGATTCAGTTATTGACTCATCTTCATCTTCTTCATTTCCTGTTATGACTACCTCTACTTCTTCTCAGAACGGTTCTGCTTCACCACCGATATCAGTATCTTCTGATTCTGCTGTTGTTTCAGATCAGTCTAATCAACTTTCTACTGCTCCTGCTTCCACACACTCCATGGTTACTCGATCACGGAATGATATTTTTAAACCTAAGCATCCATTTGTGGGAATAGTTATTGGACCCGATAATATTGAACCTCGTTCAGTCTCAAAAGCTCTTCAACGTACTTGTTGGAAACAAGCTATGCAGTGTGAATATGATGCTTTAATTCGCAACAAGACTTGGGTCTTAGTTCCTTATCAGCCTCATTATAATTTGATTGGTTGTAAATGGGTTTGGCGCAGTAAGTACAATCCTGATGGTTCAGTGCTCACTCATAAGGCTCGTTTAGTTGCAAAAGGCTTTCATCAAGAGCCTGGACTCGACTTTAGGGAAACATTTAGTCCTGTCATCAAACCTTCAACCATTCATGTTGTCTTAACTCTGGCTACGTTGTTTAACTAGCCTATACATCAAATGGACATTAATAATGCATGTCTAAATGGAGTGCTTCATGAAACTGTTTATATGGTGCAGCCCGAAGGTTTTGTGGATCCTTCAAATCCTACTCATGTTTGTAAACTTGAAAAAGCTCTCTATGGTCTTAAACAGGCTCCTCGTGCCTGGTATGATCAGCTTAAAGGCACCTTGCTTGACTGGGGATTTAACCGAAGTTATAGTGATTCATCTCTATTTATTTTCACCTCTCAAACTCAGATACTTTTAGTATTAGTTTATGTTGATGATATATTGATTACGGGTAATGATGCTTTGAGTATTTCTATGTTTACTGCCAAGTTGCACTCCTATTATGCATTAAAAGATATGGGTCCTATTCACTATTTCCTGGGGTTTGAAGTTTTTCGTGATTCTACTGGATTCTATCTAACTCAATGTAAATATACATCTGATTTACTACAACGTTTTGATATGCTTGACTCTAAGCCTTGTCCTACGCCTATGTGTTTGACTTCCTCACTTTCAGCTTATAATGGTTCTGTTTTTGCCACTCCAACTACGTATCATTAGGCTATTAGTGCTTTACAGTATCTCTACTATTCACGACCTGATATCAGCTTTGCTATCAACAAGTTAAGTCAGTTCATGCAAACTCCTCTGGATATTCACTGGCAAGCCCTTAAGCATCTCTTTCGATATCTTAAAGGTACCTCTGGTCTTGGAGTTCACTTGAAGAAGGCTTCCCCTTTAACTTTAACTGCTTTTTCAGATGTTGACTGGGCTTCTAGTGTTGATGATCGTCACTCTATTGGTGGTTATCTGGTATATTTTGGTGATTCTCTTATTTCTTGGTCTTCCAAAAAGCAACATGTTGTGGTTCGCTTGAGTACTGAATCTGAGTATCGTTCTCTTGCCAACACATCTGCTGAGATCCTTTGGCTTCATTCTTCATTATCTGAGATTAACTTTCCTTGTCATCTGCCATTGGTTATCTGGTGTGATAACACCAGTGCCACTTCCTTGGCTTCTAACCCAGTGTTTCATACTTGCACAAAGCATATCGAGATTGATGCTCACTTTTTACGAGATCATGTTCTCAATGGTCATGTTTCCATACATTATGTTCCCTTTGAAGACCAGCTTACTGACTGTTTAACTAAACCGCTGGGCTCTACTCGATTTATCTCTTTGCGTAACAAACTCGGCTTGGCCATACCACCCACTCGTTTGAGGGGGGATGATAGAGCAGATAATCGTGTGGCCCAACCAATATCTAAGTCTTAGCCCAAAGTGAAGTCCAAGTCTGATTCAGTTACGAATGCTATAGCCGATTCTCCAAGCACGTGATTTCTGTTAATTAGTTATACCTGATTATTGTTATTATTTTATTTTAGTTTATTCTATTTTTGCCTATATATATGTATCAGAGTCTCTCTTCTGGGTATTGAATAAAGAAAGAAATATTCAGCTTATATTTTTGGTTCTTCTCTTTGTTTAAACTCCGCCAGTGCTCGCCGTACATGATGAACACCATGTCCTGACCTTTGCTGGTGAATATGTCGAATACTACATTTCGAGTTCAGGACCCGAACTCGACGCCTTGTGTATGGAGGACCTCCTTGGCGAGCTCCGGCGAGGAGACAACGACGAGGTTGCGCTGGCCCATGCGGAGGAGGAAGATGTCGCCGAACTTCTTGGCCAAGTCAGTGAGGTTGCGATGGTTAAGGTTGTCACCAACTTGAAGCCAGTTTTCAATGATGGGAACAGGGAGAGGCCCAGGAGGGAGCTTGAAGCGCTTTCCTCGTAGTTTGGAAATGACGATGGCAAGGACGACGGCAACAAAGAGATCGACGAGAGTCTTTTCCAGGAGGAGAATATCCATGGAGGCGATCGAGATAATGAAGTGAAGGAATTGAATGTATCAAGTCAGGTTCAGGGATTGGGTGGGTCTGAAAGAGAAGCTTGTGAGTTAGGGGTTTTAATGTGTCAAGTAATGCGATTGGTGACGACTCTCAGTTAGAAGACTGAATGATGCAAATGAGAGGGTCGCGGAGTAGGTAAGCAGGGTTGGTGGACTCCACTCAATTCATGTATATTCTTCCTGAAATGCATGTGGATGTTTTGAGGAAAGATTGCTGAAAAATCCCCCGTTAAAATTTTAAATGCTTAAAAGTACCTGAAATTTTTATCAAGGCTCAGGTCCTTGGAGGACTAAAGTTTGATTGTAATATGAGTAACTTGCCCTTCTCTAAAACTTTTAGAAAAACACACACAAGGTTGGCCATGGGAATAAAGTTTGATTGCAAAATGACCAATTTTCCCTTCTTTAAAAAATTGAAAAAAACACACACACAAATCCAAGAAGCAGACATATAGCGTTGGCGATGGGAATAAATAAAGTTTGCATTGATGCAAAAAAAAATTTTTAAACCAGTTAAAAAAATGCTTTTTAAATCAATTTTGTAACCAATTTAGATGTACGAAATTTAAAAAATCTTTTAAAAAAGTCTTGGCGGTTGTAACTAGAAGTAGTTTAGAAAGTGAAGTTTCTTCCTTGTCAAACAAATGAACCGCCTCACTATATGCATTTATCCCCTCATTAATACTAATAGGGAAACAACTAAATACCCAGAGTAAAAGCCTAATGGATGGCAATTTCTTTTTCTTTTTTTAGAAACAAATTGCTAATTCTGGTTAATCTCCTATTAATATGTTGTTCTAGGATAAAGACTTTTAAACGACAAAATCAAATCACATGAATGCAAAATAAAATGTATTTTTACACGAAACTTACTTTGACCTTTTCAAAAGATAAACTTTACTCCCCTAAAGCAGCAAGAGTGGTGACCCCGTATGAGGTTAACCCACCCACACAAGTTGGATCAACTTCAGCCAATGTGCATGATGTCAAAGTGGCCTCTATCCCAACCTAACCATGTATTTCAAACAGATATTACAACAAAACATGGAACAGCTCCTCTCACAAAGTTACTATTAATTGAACCACTTAGTGTGTGTTTAGTTTTTAATTTATTAAAAGTTTATTTAGTGAAAGTTTATTTGACAAAAATCAATTAACTCAAAGTCAGTTGTTGTAACAAAATTTGTACTTGGATGTGTTTTTTGAAAAGTTAATTTTGTACACTAAAAGTTGTTTGGATTGTAATAATAAAATGTGATTTTGAATATACAATTACCAAAAAGAATATTGATTTATGATTATTTGTAATTTTTATTATACAAATGTAATATATTTAAAATATTTTAAAAATGTGATAAAAATTTTAAATAACATAACATTTGATCTATAATGCCGAAAACTTAATCTCTAGTCATTTGTACCTTTTTAGTTTGTAATTTTAAAAAAAGTGATAAAGATTTGTAATTTGCATTATACATTAATGCTAAAAATTAGCATGATTAATTATTTAATTTATAATGCTAAAAACTTGATACCTAATTATTATTATTATTGAAATAATAATTTTATTTTTAATGAATTAGCTATTTTTTAAATAAAAGAATAAGAGATTAAATCTGAGGTAGTATGGTCAAATAATATTTTACTTTTCAAAAGCTCAATTATTTTAAGTTGGCCAAAAGCACATTCAACAATATCTGAAAAGGATTTTTTAAATAAACTTTTTAAAAAATATTAAAAATCAAAGAACATCCGACTTTTGAAAAGTAAAAAAATACTTTCAAAATGTTAAAAGTAACAAAACCAAACGAACCTTTAAGCATGTGTTTGAATAACATTTTTAATCGATTATTTGAAGGAAAATCAATTAAAAATGAAAATTATCTAAACACTCAAAAAATAGGTTAATCAATTTTTGGGTCAAAAATTAATTTTCTTCAAAAGCTGAGAAATCGAGTGTTCTGTGAAAAAGCTAACCAAAAACATTGGAGAAAATTACAAAGAAAGGCTCAAGAAAAAATTACAAAGAAAGCTTATAATTTAATAAAAATAAAAGCAAACTCTCTTCTCTTCTCTTTTTTTTTTCCTTAATAAAATTCAAACTTTATATCCTCAAAAAATTGATGTTTGATATTTAAGAATTAAATTATATAGTAATTTATATAGCTAAAATTAATTCTGATTAAATTATCCAAACATCTTCAATTCTATTAAAATTAATTTTATAAAAACAGTATTCAAACATATTGCATTATAATATAATCAATTATGATTAAAATCTACCACTTAATCAATTATTTTCACAATTTATTTTACCAAACTAAAATCCAAACGGGCACTAAGTCTCAAATGGCTCTATAAATAGTACCAGCTCTTTTATGCAATTGCTTTTAGCTTATTTTCTAACATTGGGCTGTGTGTGGAAAAAGATAATGGTGATAAAATATAAGTTTTTGAGTCAAGCCTGTGAGATAAAATGGCCCTACATTGGGCTTTGTGCTTGCAAGGCTTCATCACCTGTCACTTCTTCATCCATTCTCTTTCCCCCTCTTTACTCTCTCTCTTCTATTGTTAGTAGAAATTTCTTCTTTAGTCTTTTTTCAATGAACTAACTAACCAAGTCTTAAATGTTTTGATTCATTTCCTAACCTATCACCAACTCAAGCAGATGGAAAAACTCAGAGAAGGAAAACAAAGGAATTTATAGAACCCAAGCTCATTGGTTGAAAATCACGCCTCTATTGTAGCCACTGTCTATTGCCATCATGCAGGTACAGGAGTATTTTTTTCTCTCACTTCTTGCCTTACAAATCCAAGGTCACCTCTCTCTCTCTCTCTCTCTATGATTATCATATCCTTTCTCTGTTTCTTTTCATCTTTCTGCCTTATTAAGATCATCATGGCTAATTCATGCTCTTCTTTTGGCCGATTTGATTTTTTTTTCTTCTTGACCTAAAACATCACTTTTCTGGTTTCAAAGGTGGGATATTTTAATTCTTTTTTTCCATTTCTATTTTTCTTTGTTCTTTCCTTCTTTGTCTTTTATACTCTTTCCTTCTTCATCTTATTTTCCCTCTTCATCTAATTCTTTGCTCATATTTCAAAGCTACACAAGAAATTAGTGTGGAGGGCTGGATAGGGGCGTGCACACAATTTGTTTTTTAGGGCAAAGAGAAGATAAAGAACAAAGAAGATAGGATTCTGGTAATGGCACTTTTCAAAGGATTCTTCCTTTGAGTTTTTATATTATTAGTTGATTTGTGGAACATCAATTGATAGCAAACCGAAAAGATAGGTGACTAAGCTTTCCATTCAATCATAGAATCTTAGCGAAGTGTTATGATTCGTGATTTTTCATGAGGTTAAGGAGGTCTGGAATGTTCTAGAACCCTCCAAAAGGTTCCCGAATAACCTTAAGAGTGCTAGAAAGTGCAAGAACATTCTAGAAAAATCTACACAACTCTAGCCTTAATATTGTAATGTTGCCTCTGGATATTTTCATGTAAATATCTAGATATTTATTGTAAATATTTAGGAGAGAATTCTAGAGAATCAACTGTAACTGTAGGATCAATTTAATCTTCATTGTCCATTAAGGAGTTGGGAATTTTTTATACTCAAGGGGAGGTTTATAAATATCTCACCCCTCCTCATTTGTAAACCATCTTGAGTTCTCAAAGCAATACTACTCTCACCCCTCCTCCTTTGCCCTCAAACTCTCCCTTTCCTCAACTTAGCCAAGCATCCTCCTTTTTTATGAGTTAGGCTTACTTAGCAACTTCTAGTAAAGATTGTTTAAGTGCTGCACAAATCGAAAGACTAGCCCCCTAACAGTTGGTATCAGAGCACGATTCTACCTTTATGCTTAGAGGAAGGTATTGTGCAATGGCAACCGAGGAAGGAAATGTTGTTGGAGTGGAAGCGCATGAGCAAGCTCACATACAAGAGAGCAAGCTCATCCTAAGTCCAAGCAAAGCAGGAGCAAGGTTCCTGCAAGTGAGTCCCTTAAACCCCGTGTTGCTAGCTTGGAATCTCACATGGAGAATGTGAGATGCACTAGAGTGGAACTCGATGATCAACTCAACAATCTCATCTAAGAGAATGCTGAGGTCACGCGCGCTGCCAAGTTGATGATTGAAGAACTCGGCCGTGATATGGGGGAGGACATTCATTTCCTTACACATGATCTTGTCGATCTTTGCAAATATGTTGAGCATGAATTGTAAGGTCTACACTCTCAAATAGATGAGATTCATCATGAGTAAGAATCTTATTATCGTGTAAGCAACCCTGTTAGTGGTAGTACTTCAAACACCACTTCTTAGGGTCTGAAAGTGCCCAAGCTGGCAATGTACAATGGGGCTCGTAGTGTTACAATTATGGAGAACTTCCTCTTTGGCCTAGAACAATACTTTGAGGCCATAGGAGTCATTGATGACTTGATTAGAATCAACAATGCTTCAACTTTCCTTCAGGATGCAACCTAACTATGGTGGCACAGAAAGCATACTGAGTGAGAGAAGGGCATTTGCACTCTCAACACATGGGAGCTGTTCAAGTCAGAGCTCTAAAAGCACTTTGTTCCCCACAACACTGAGATGGAGGCTCGAGGTAAGCTCCGTAGGTTGAGACAAACTGGTAGTATTCCTAACTACATCAAAGAGTTTACTAT